GCAACAAATGCTAGCTAATGGAAAAATAATTCTTAAAGAAAAATTTGAATTAACCTTCCCTTAGTTTAGCAGACTAGGGGAGCACAGTAATTTCAGAAGAAGCTTTGTGTTTAAATATATGTCCCTACAGGCCCTGTTGCCTTAAAGAAGACAAGATACCTGAGACTGCTCCAAGGAGAAAATTGGTGATTGTAAGGTGATCATGCCAGAGGTGGCATGTTAGGCAGTTGTACTGGTATACAACTGTTGGATATAAGCAAAGTGCTGTTACCTACTAGTGTAAGTTGTTTTAACTGCTGAAATTCTAATTTTTCAAGCTGTAACAAAATGACAACTTAATTGTAAACTTGTTAGAATATGTAATTGTAAAAAACGATGACAATTTTAATCAAATTACCTAGATAATTTAACTTGCATTACTTCCAAATTAAGTAAAAATTAAATTTTATTGGGGTGATGTTATACATGATACGGATTTACTGTATTTAGAAGAGTTATAAGAAATTGGACATATTAAGTGTGAACTATGGTTGATACAGCAGAATCTTACCTAAAATATCTACATATAGCTACAAAAGATTAACTGGGGCCTAAAGTTTTCTTAAATATGCTAATGTGTTATTATATTTGTGGTAAATGTTTCTGAGATACAAGTTATTTATGTAATGAAAAGCACAAAGAAATGGCAAATACCACTTGGACAGTCACTTTAAGTAAATACTATGAACATCTTGTAATTTGTGAGGTTTTTACATTTTTCTTCAACCCAGTTTGGAGAAATAAATGATAATTCAAGAGTGGATTTTAAAAACACTCTGCCTTCATTTAAATTTTCATAAATTCAAACTCCAGTAGACTAGCTACCTTCAAAATAAATTCCAGATGGGTTGGTGATTTTGCCACACAATGAATGCAGTAGAATGCTATATGAATTTGAGTAAAGTTGGGCTAGATTTTACTGTAGAAATATATAAATTCAAAATCTCAGAAGCTTAAAGATTTGTTTCTTGCTCATGATCATATCCATCCTAGATAGGAAGAGGACTAAGCTCTGTGTCATTCTCACTACAGAACCCAGGCTGATGGAGTAACCACTGTCTAGAACACTGATATTTATCATGAAAAAAGGAGTCTGATTAATAAGCTGTGGTTCTTGAAGCTTCTGTTTGGAATTTCTCAAGTGACACATATCCATTTCATTGAGTAAAGACCAAGTCATACTGCCATACCTAACACCAATGTGGCCAAAAAAGACAAGCTGAAATATGTTCCCAAAGGGGAAAAACTAGAAATATTTGATTAACAGCACCAATGGCTTTTATAAATTAAATGAATGTATGTTGAATATAAACATGGAGAGGGTTTAATTTCTAAGCATGAAAGAAAGTATAGCATATAAAAATCAAAAAATATGTCTATGACCAAAATAATCTTAAAATTATTTGAAAACATTTGCAAATGTAGACTTGGGGTACAGTGTGTGCTCAGCATGCAGGAGGCCCTGGGTTCCATCCCAACACCCAATTCTATATGCACATGGGCATGTGTGTGTGTGTGTAGCCTGAAAGTGTATGTATTTATGCTAAAAATGAGAATCCTTAATATGTGAACATTTTAAACAATAGTTTTAAAGACACCATTTTCAAATGAGCTAAAATGATGAGCCAGAAAATAACAAAAAATGAAAATTGAAGTGTTCAACTAATTAGTAATTAAAGCATCGTAAATTAAAGCAAGCTACTGAGTTTTTTAAACTATACGATGATGATAACCTGTTTTGGTAAAAGAGAAATGTGCACTAACTTACTATTGCAATGTTAACATGCAAACTACAACAAAAACCTTGAAAAATGCCTGGGTTTCTGGAGGCCAACTTGGCAATGTGTATTAAAAGTTTTTAAATGTAGCCAGGCATGGTGATACACTTCTGTAATGCCAGGTATTCAAGAAGCAGAGGAAGGCGAATCACAAGTTCAAAGTTACAGAGATCCTGTCTCAAAAACAAAATAAAGAACAAAAGAGTGGAAGGCATAGCTCAAGTGGTAGTAGCATGTTTACCTAGCAAGCTTGAGGACTTGGGTTCAAACCCCAGTACTGCCAAAAAAAGAGAGAAAGACTTACATCAATAATTCCCATCGCATTTGACCAATGATTGGGAAAGCGGAAAAGTGAAAAAAATTAAGTGTTCAATAATAAGGCAGGTTAAATAAATAATTGTTCATCCATACAGTGGAATATTCTGCAACATGAAAATGTACATAGAAAATGTTATTTTTATAATATTAGAGAAAATAGGTTGTAAAACTGTATGTATAATCCTTTCATTTGAAAAATGTATGTGTATGAGAACACTTCTTGAGTAGTCTTTTAAAGCATAATAGAAACAAATTGGTGACAGCAGTTGGCACACATTATACTACTAAGGTTGACTAATGGCCAGTCTCCATCTCATTTTAACCAAAGCGGGGCCCCTTTCTATGTCTTAGACACAAAAGGTCCCTTCTCCATTCACTGTGATACAAATTCAGTCCTTAATCTGTGTCTGACAAACCCCTTTTCTGCCTTTTCCAGTTGTCCAAATTCTTTCTTTTCTTTTCTTTTTTCTTTTTCTCTTCTTTTTCTTTTTTAGTAACATCTTTAGAATCCCAGGTCTTCTGATACCAAGACTCAGATTCGCTGTCACTAATTTCTTTCCTAGGGATTGGAACCCTGCCCAAAATTCCAGACTATAGTCAGCAACTAGTTTCTCCTATGAACATCCTTGATTCCTGATTTGGCCCTATTTCCCCTCCAGACAGAGTTGCTACATTTTATCTGCTGATCAGGAAAACCAGCTTCTACCTTGTATTGGGCAAGCACTTGTTCTACCGCTGCCGCCATCCCTTCTCAATACCATGAGTTGTCCACCCCTGGCAGGCCCAACGGTCTGTCACTCCAGAATGAGTCTGATTCCAGTTTTCTGCATTCCCCAAATTGTTCTATGCCATTGTGGCTACCTAGGGTTGGCCCTAAACCTTTCTCATCTGTTAAATTTCTCTCAGGAACTTATTTCCAGATAAAGCGTAAGAAAATCAACTCATAGTTAGTCACTTGCATTTTCTTCTGTTGTTCAAAGTTTGGTGGCAAACACTGAGAAATCTTTGTGAAAACTTAGGCCATCAACAGTTGGCATTCAACTTTTAACACTAAATGTAGGCATTCCTACAGAGGGCATCTGCAAGGCATGGCACTGCATCCATCTCTTTTAAATTATTCTTGTGGGCTTCATTGGGTCCTTTAGCCTAGTTTATCTTCATTTTGTTGGAGTCTGGATCTGAGTATCTGTTTTCTTCATTCCCCTCTGGTTCCTGTACTAATTTTTTGCTGTGGGGAAACTGGTTTCCCTGTTTTTTCTGTCTTCCCGTCATTGTCTTTGGTGTTGTTACTGTCCCTCTACTGTGTGCAATTAAGTATTTTCTAGCTTGTAATAATAACAATGGTAATATTTAGAATGGAAGGGTGAGCGGAGATGGAAAGCAAGAAGTTAAGAAAAGGGAAGAACAAATAAACAGATAAGAAGGAGAAAACAGAACAAGGAATCAGACAAGAAGGTTTCAAAGGTATAAACAGGGAGCTTTAGTGTACCAATCGACAGTAAGCTGAACAGACATTAGAGAGACAGAGGATTGAAAATAAAAATAAAAAAATAAAGATAAGAATAAAAATAAGTAAATGAAAGAAATATCTATATATAAAAATAAATTAAAATAAAATGAAAAATAGAAAATTTTTTAAAAACCCAAAAAACCAAAAAACCTCCAAGTTCAAATGCAATGAAGTTTCAGTCTTAATAATTTGGGTGTCCATCTCAGTCTCCAATCCTGGAGATGGTGCCTCAGATGTTGTTCTGTAGTTGTCTCATCAAAGGTGACGCATAAAGTAGAACAAAACTACACACACATACACACACAAAACCCACCAAGTGTCCCAAGTTCAAATGCAATACAGTTTCAGTAAGTTTTTCAGCATGCAGGTGTAATTCGGTTGTTCTCTCATCAAAGGTAGGGAGAAAAAGAAAAAAAAGAGTCTGGAGACAGTTCTGAGAATGGTATCTGTGGCTGTGTCTTGCCTGCCCACTGCTGTCAGCCTGCTGTTGCTGGCGGCGTTATTTATGCAGATCTCAGGGGTGAGTTTAGTGCTCACCTGGCCCTGCAGGTTTTCTTTACTCAGAGTTCTCCTATGCGTGAGCCTCTGCTACAAACATTCCCCTTTCCAAGCACACTGGGGGAGGTGACACTGCACTTGCTTTCTCAGGCCTGCGTGTTTATTTACAGTTCATGTGGGAAGTGGGTCTTACCCCCCTCTCCTGTGCAGTTTTCCTCCCATTGCCACTTTCACAAGCTTTCCCGCTCCTGGTTGCTGGGCGCATGTCCCTGCTCCCGCCGGAGCCTCTCCGGCCCGCCCGGCCCGCCCGGCTTGTTTATTTACAGTTCCGGGAAGGATTCCCTTCCCCCAATCTTTGGCGCTCAGGGTGCCCCACCCTCTTTCCTGCATGTCTTTATTGTTCTTATTGCTTATTAGTCAGTTTCTCTTTTTTCCCTGGGTGGGGGCCGGTCTGTCCAGGGGGCTATGCTGCTCTGGCCCAGGGTTGTCTGTGGGGGAACCACAGCACTGTGAAGCTCACCTTGTCCGCATCTTCCCAAGCCGTCTGGGTGCAGGCGACTGGGGCCCCGGGGGCCCTCCTTGTTTCTCCGTTTTACGTGAGGTGGAGATTCTCTGCGCTGGCTGGAGGTGTGGAGGGGTCAAAGTTTTGCCTTTTCTCAGTGGTTTTGCCTGCAAAGTGTGTCTCCAGCGTCTCTCCAAGATTTCACTATAGGAGGCTCGCTTTCTGCTTCCTCCCTCTAGCCGCCATCTTGGAATCCCCCCTGCGTCCCTTTCAATGCCTTCCAACTAGGAAATAGTAATGAATTATCTGATTTCATAAATGCTTAATTGCTTGTTTTTTCCAATTTTATATCCAGGTATTACTTTGTTTTTCCCGGGATACTTCTGTACTCAGTCACTTTGCATACAACAGTGCTTCACCACCGAAATCTTACATAAGAGGTAATATTTCAGCAAAATATTAAGCAGGTATTATTGAAGACTATGTAATCATGCCAAGAATGTTTGTCTATTTTATATCTTAAATTTGGGTTGCCAAGTTGTAAATTGTAAATCACTTCAGCTTTCTCTTAGATCAAGTAACCATCCTTTCACTTCTTTTACTCTTTCATCAGTGCCTAAGCAACAATTACAAATCACAGTTCCATGGTTCCCTGAAGTAGCATTTCAGGATACCATTTTTGTCTCTCCTGTTTGCTGACTCTTCTTTTGCTGCTTTTGTCATATCTGTTGATTTCTCTTTTCCTTTATAATTATGAGTTTATCACTAAGAATTTATTTCTCTTTTAGTTTTTTTTAACCTTCTGTGTTCCTGCTCCCAAAATGTTCTAAACATTAATTTTAAAATGTTTCCTTTTTATTAAGTGGTGAACACCCAGAACTGAATGCTCATTACCCTATTGTGTATGGTCCTGCTGCTGCTTCCCTGAAGAAAGAAACCCTTTCTAATGTATTTGCCTGGTCTGACCTACCTGCCTGATAGTTCTAACTCCTACCCTAGATCAGATCACATTGGCTTGTGTTGCAGTCAACTTAGGGCTTCTAACTTAGGGCTTCTAAAATGAGTGAATAGAAACATATTTAAAAAAAACTGATTATCACATGGGATCAACAATGATTTTAAGACCCTCCATAGTTCATACAGTATTAACGTAGCTGACTTTCCTTCCTTACACAATATGCCATATTCATTCTAGCCTCCATTTAGTACCTGCATATGGAAGGCTTCTCATTCCTTCACCCCAAAAATCACAGGTCCTTGAAGAACTACCATGCATCTCACTATGTCTACCACCCTATCATCAATTTCTCTCTACTCTGAGACTCTAAAAATTTGGAGCCTGTTTTTAAAAGTTTGCAAACATAGTTTACAGTTTCATGGTTTAGTCTAGAATATAAATCACATGATTGAGATACTAAACCCCAACAAGAATAAAAAAGTTTTTTAATTAAAACTTTTGCTTTAAAACCCAGTATAAGAATGAATCACTTCACTAAACTCAAAGGTGTTAGAAAAACTATCAAGGTAAAAGCTACTTAAGATATTTGGTGGTATGGGTGAGGACTATATATAGCTCAGAGGTAGAGTACCTGCCTAACATGCACAAGACCCTGGGACTGATCCTCAGGATGTCCACAAAAAAGAAAGAAAAAAGGAAAAATGATATTTGCTGGAAGAGGGGAAAACTGTGAACCTTGAAACCTTTGAGAGGAAACTTCTTAAAATTCTGTTAAACATTTGATTACAGCAAATATACTTTTCTAGGACAATTCTGATTTCAAATATTTATTCGTATTTTCTGATCATATAAACTCTCTTAGGACTCAGAAAATATGACCACCATATAATTAAAGACATTTGATTTTTAGCTTTTTAGCACATTTTATAAAAATATAAACTAATGAGATGCTGCAAAGCTTAGGACTTTAATGATTAGGTTAGAATTATTTCTATTTAGCAAGACAGTTTTAAGCTTATAAACATATTCTTTTTGAGTACTTAAGGAGTTTGAAAGCATTGTTTTTTATATTCCTGATTTTAATTCTGAAAGGATTTGCTAATGTCAGAAGATTGACTGGCATATTTTCAAATTAATTCCATATCATGAAATGAAATAAAATTAGGCCCATTTTTAAAATTCCATTAATTATTGGTACACTCACATAATAAGTTGATTTTGTAATTTATTTTACTTAATCATATTGAAACTCTTTTCTTTTATAGGAAAACTAGGATTAGAAGACTATGCTGTTTTTTATCCACCAAATGGTAAGAGTAATACTATTGCTTCCTCTAGTGGGAAACGGGAAAATTACAACTTTCATACTAGGAATATGATTTCTTATTCTCTATCATTAAATAGAAAATAATTTATCTTTTATCATCTAAAATAAACCTTCCATAGATTACATTTTAATGACTTTTTCCACATTTGTGGTAGATTGGTGCTAAATTATACATATCCTCTCTGGTTCTGCTTGGAACCCGTAGTAAGTTTGAAGGAAAGCTGGATAAGCTTAAGCCTAAGTGAGGCATTTAGTTTTCCTCTGAAGAACACCAACTAGTTCCACTAGGGCCTTCCTTTTGGCATTGTTGGAACAGTGCTCTAGTCAATGGAATGGGTCACCTTGTGCTATACTTTATTGTTTTCATAATTTGACTAGGGTCGCATTTATGAAATACCAAGATTATTAAGAAGGATCACTAAAATAATCCATCTTAATGATATGAAGTTACCAAATATGACCTCATAGTTAATATTTAGATATTAAATATTCCCTTGAGATTAGACAGTTTTTAAGATATGCTTCTTGAAAAAGCTATATATAGCAGTCATTATGATAATGTTAAGTTACATCCTCAAGAAGTTCTTTTACTCCAGCAGAGTTAAGAACATGGGCTTTGTAATCCAGCAGACCTGGGTTCAGATCCCAGTTCTGCCAGCTCACCCTATGACCTTGGGTAAGTTACATGACTTCTGTGAACTTCAGATTCATCATATGGATAATAATTTAAGTGAGATATGGTATGTAAACATTAGCTTAGTGCCTGACATGTAGTGAGTGCTCAGAAAATGTACCTGTGATGAGTGTGTTTAACTCTACTGACCACTATGTCTAACCTCATAGTTGGTGTTCATGGCACTGTTTTCTCTCTGTGCCTTTCAAGGTGGTGCCCCCAGCTCCTTTCATGGGTCATCTACTTCTGCCTTACCCTTGTTCTGCTGCTCTTTTCTTTTCACACACTTACTAGGGGCTTCCATCTGTTTTCATGGGTCTATGTATATTTGTTAATTATTCTAAAATTTCTGTCTCCAATTCTGACTATTCTTGTGATTACCTAAAACTTAATATATCCCAACTCAATATTTTATCTTCCTATGCCTCCCAAAGGAAAAAAGTTGAATAAATTTTAAAAAAAACTATTCCTCTCTTAGTTAATTGCATTATTATCTACCCAGTAACTCAAAGCCTGAAACATGGTAGTCATCCTGGGTTCCTCTCAGTCTGTATTCCCCCTCATCTGATCAAGTCACCAGAGACTTCTCATTGCATCTTCCAAATATATCTGGGACCCTCTCTTCCTCACCATAACTGCTGCCTTGCCCTCCTCAGGCCTGACCATCTCTAGCTTATCAGTTGTAACGACCATCTAAATGGTCTGTCTTCCTTATCTTTTTCTAGTTTTGTTCTTTCTTTCACTCTGCAGTCTGAGGTATACATCTAAAATAAAAATTTAAAGATTGCTATTTTTCTAAAAGTTTTCTTAATGTTGAGAAGCTTAACATCTAAGCTTCTCAGCATGACATACATCTTATCTCTCCTACCCTTATTTCTCACTATTTCCTATCTCATTTTTTTACCACAGCAATAGCAAACTATTTCTTCTTCTTACACATAGTCACATACACTCACAAAATCATATTCTGCTTCCTACTTCATTCTCTCCTGTTCCCAGACTTAGAATAGTCCAGACCATCTTTCTTCAGCTGGCCATCATCAAGACTCAGTTCAGACATTAACCTCTTCAAGAAGCTTCCCTAGTCCCCCAGTGAGGTTAAGGGCCCTTCCTCTAGGCTCTCATAGTACCTGGTAAGAAAATCTTTAGTATCTCTTACTATATTATCTTGACATTGTTTATACTTTATCTCCCCCTCAATGTTGCAAGCTTTGGGAGGTTCAGGACCATATCTTTGTTTCATTTTTATTCCCCTACTATCTAGCATGTAGTAGTAAAGTAGTATTTATTTGAACTACATTAGATGCGTGTTAACTTTAACATGTATATACATATATACATAAATATATATACACAAATAATTGTTGCATCAATTATCCCAAGGATTAAGTTTCTGCTATTTTTTTATTTATCTAAGAAACAGAAAATAAGAAAAAGTAAAATACCCTTAGATACTAGCAAAGGAAAAAAAAAGATGTACATGGACTCAAGTTCAGTTTAGTTTAGAACGTATTAGCACTTACTTAACACACGTCTAACAAACTTGGTTTATGTCCGTTACAAAAATAGAAGCTGATACAGATATAAAAAATGACCAACAACAGTGAGAAGTGAAATTTAGAGACTTCACACAAGAAAATACAAAAACTATAAAACAGCGTATCAGTGTGGCAGTATTGTATATAAAAGCCAATAACCCTACACCCTTTAAAAGGTGTCACTAAGTTGTAGTATATTAGAATTTCAGATCTTTATCCTGAGTTTAAGGCATATGTATATAAAGTCATTATAATAATTGCAATAGTAGTTGTAGTAGCACCAGCTAACATTTTCTGAACAGTACTGTATACCAAGCATGTGTTAATTACATTGTATGTATTTAATCCTCATAATATCCTCTGAGGCAGACACTAATACTGTCCCTATTTGTAGATAAAGAAACTGAGGCACAGAATGTTAGCCTGCCTAATGGTGAGTGGCAGAGTCATGCTTTGAATCCAAGCTGTGTGACTTCAGCTGAAGTATTCTCATCACCGTGATCTCATGCCTCAGAAACTGATTGTTACTGAGGTGATCATAATGTCTTTTGGAAGAATTGAAGGTGGTTAATATATTGGCATAGCAAAAGATTATACATAATAGGTTCTAGAAAGATTTTTATGAGAAAAAACTAGTTTAATCCAAAGCATAATAAGCACAACTCTTCATAATTTAATTCTATATGATCATTTCTTCTTTCAGTTGTTTTAGAACATACCAGAATCAAGGAGTACTCTTTTCTCTAAGTAATGATTCTCAGGTTGCAGAACAACAGACACAAACCAATCTACTGTGCCTTTTTTTCCTTTATCTTAGGCAATACTAAGCTATGTTTTAATGTTACCTGCCTCGTTTTCCAGCCTCTGCCAAGAGTGTTACTTTGAAATCTCAAGGACATCTCTACCACTACTACCATCAAAACTGGCCTGGCTTTCTTGGCCAAAAGAGGCTGCCAGAGGCATTTGCCTGCAGTTGTCTGACACTTTTACTCCTTGACTAGCCCGGTGCTTGCAGAGCCATTGGTTTTGTCACCACCAATGGCCCCCACACACATGTGATTACCTTCCCTAGATTGGAACTAATAGCCACTGTGGCACCAGGCATTACTTTCCTCTCATTTAAGGGCTCATTCGTGGATAGACTTTATCTAATAGATTGATATAGCAAAATTCTGAGCTGAGGGAGATAGATCACAGGAATTTTGTGAACTTTTAATGTATGTTGTTATTCATCTTGTATAAATTGTCTCTTTTGGTGGCATTGAAGTTTGAACTCAGGGCTTCACTAGACAGATGCTCTACCACTTGAACCATGCCCCCAGAACTAAATTGTCTTTCTTTATTCACTTGATAAATATTTATTTAGCCCTGCTCTGACTCACTACAAAGGTGAGTGGCACACAGGAAAGGACACAAGTAAGTCTGTTGCCAAGGAGCTCCCATGCTAGTAAAGGAGAGAAACAAGAGGAATGGTTGGAAAAAATGACTTCAGAGAGTGATGAAGTAACCAATAAATGTAAGAAATTGAAGGGGTCGGGGAAGGCAGAGTTACTTTAGATGAGGAATGAGGAAAGGTGCTCTGAATAGGTGGAATACAACAGACACCAGAAGGTGCAGACTGAGCCATGCAAAACACTGGGACAAGAGCATTCCGGAGGGAATGCATGGCATGGTTAAAGGCCAAAGATAGGAATAAGCCTGCTGGTTTGAAGTGTGTGGCTGATAAGAATGAGCCAATAAAAGATAAGGTAGGAGAGGTAGACAATGGCCAGGTCAGGGAGGAAGATTATTAATTTTAAGACTTGTCTAGTAAGTCCAATGTCTAGGCTTCCTCAAGGACAGTTCCTATTAATTTCTTTTTGTTTTTTATTTATGGGCTTGACTCTGTGTCTTTGCATAACCACTATTTTTTTTTTCAGTATTGAAAATTAGCTATCTGGCCAATAACTCCGGAAATTAGATTCACTCCCCTAGCCCAGAATTCATTGTTGCTTGTTGTATTTTATAGTTGTTTGTTTTATGATTCTTCTTTACTATTTGGGTTTTTTTTTTTTTTGTAGTACTGGTATTTGAACTTGGTGCCTTGTGCTTGCTACACAGGCACTCTACCACTTGAGCCACACCCCCAGTCCATTTTATAAACTATTTCTATAATGATTGTATTCGTCATCTTGTGTGCTCACTCAGCTGTCTGTTCCATTAGCTTATTAGTCAGCTAATGATTTGACAGAGATTTCCTTAAATATCTAGAACCAAAAAAGTAAAAGATTAGAAAACTAATTTTTTTGATTGCCAGGCACCAGTGGCTTACGCCTGTAATCCTAGCTATTCAGGAGGCAGAGATCAGAAAGATCACAGTTCGAAGCCAGCCCTGGCAAATTGTTCAAGAGACCTTATCTCAAAAAAAAAAAAAAAAAAAAAAACCTTCACAAAACAAGGGCTGGTGGCTCAAGGGTGGTGGCTCAAGGTGAAGGTCCTGAGTTCAAACCTCAATACCACCAAAAAAGAAAAAGAAAAGGAAAACTCTCCCAGTCTTTGAAGATTGGCTTAGAGCAGGTCACTCCTTCAAGGCTTAGCCATGTCATTTACAACTGTCTTAGGCTTCACTTCCTTCTTGCACAGGGCCTAAAAGTCAGTCAGAGGTGAATGGCCAAGGTGCTCTCAGGTCTTTTCTAGAATCCCCCTGCATCCTATACATAGGAGCTTTTCAAAGCCCTTATTCCCTCAGATAGCTCCTTCCTGAGCCTCTTCCTTCACATGCTTTTCAGTCTG